GGAAAATTTCTCTCTCTCTCTCTCTTTCCGGATGAGATATAAGAGAGAGAGAGAGATATCAAATAGCGTGAGTTCGATCGAATCCTCCGAGCACAGGAATGCGAATAATTAAATTGGCGAATAATTAAATATTGTAGCTATTTGTAGTCAATTCATCCTTTTCAACAGACGCTATCACATTTTTCGCATGCAATTCACGTATACCAATGTCTTCGATGCAATGCACGTTATTCCGAAATTCCGAATGATTGACCACAATTAACGAACAACTGGTGCGCCGATAGCGCTATACTTTCTACACCCGCGCCACTCTTCCACACTGTTTACACGTGTAATTTTTAAGATAAATAAAATTACACGTGTAAACTGAATTTGTTTACTGTTTGGTGAAGTCCTTAGTCCAATTATGTGTGAATCTTGAGAAAACAGTATCTTATATCACAATAGTATGCAAGTTTCACTTAAAGATGTATGTCGTTAATGTCAAAATAACAGGATAAAGCTGAAATTTACAGAGATTGTGCACTTATATATCCCAAAAACCTGTGTTAAATTTGCGATTGATTGTCCGACCCGTTTCTGAGATATTTGCTTTAAAAGTTACAAAAATTGTATATATATAGATATACTTTCCATGTAAATATCATAATATGTATCTCTGCTCATGTAAGATAAAAATGAATGAAATTTATATGGTACACTTCTATGACATCGAAAATTACAATTACGGTTTTTTAAGATTTTCTGGTTATATTTTTTTTCAAATTTTTAATGATTTATTTAAACAATATCAAGTACAAAAATGGGACAAAATTGCGATTTTTACGCTTTTTCGATCCCAATGATACCATGTTGTTTATGAATAATTTCTGAGATTAGCTCTACACTGTTTAATCAAGAAAACAAAATTTTGCTACATACAGCTATAGCGACATACATCTTTAAGTAAGAAGGAGATAGTAGTTTGAATGAGTTAAAAATAGCTGTTTTTTTTTCAGGAATGTTTTAATGAAAAAAAGGTAATAAATAAAATAAAAAAAGGTTTTCTTTATCAAATATAATGTACTTACAATAATGTATTTAAAAAATTCTTTTATACAATTTTATTATAAATAATGGCTGCGACAGCTGTCGGCGCGGACTATGCTTATCAAAACGTATTTTGCGCCGATCATCGTAACATTCCACAGGATATTATGGAAGCAAAAATATTTCCCTGTCACTCTTAACGCCGACTATATATTTATCCATTCGACCTGTGAATACTAACTCCGGCTATAGTTATCATTCATGTAATGACCTGTCGGTACTGACACCGACTATAGCCGTCCTAGTTGGTACATTAATTTCATTTGTAATGGTCACATGATAGCATGTTTTATCACGTGTCATCGATACGTATCACATTTGCTTTCTCAATGAAATGCATTGTAACAATCAGTCAATAAAATTTTAAATAAATATTGCTTTTATGTAAATTTTATTTTTATATTTAATCAGCCATTAATGTGTACTAATATACTATAAAGTAGATACTAAAGTAGATAAGTTAAATAGCGCGAAGTAACATAAATCAATTGCGTTAATTGTGAGTATCAATAAAGCGCGTTCCGCGGTAGAGAGGTGTATAATGCGATAGAGCTCTGTGTCAAATTTATTGTTAGTCATAATAAAAAGGTGATTTTTAAAAAATAAGCTTAAATGTCCCCCACGTAAAAATTTCTTGATTTATGCATTTATAAGAAAATGACAATTGTTTGAAGTAAAAAAAGTTCAACTTCTGTGTAAAATTTAGAACTATTTTTGTTAAAAAAAATTACTTTGAAAAATCCTACATAGAAGACAAGATTAGGAAGTGAAAACATGCTAGCAAATCAATTAAATAATTTTGGAGATATCGCGACCATCGATTTTAAGAACACTATTTCAAGAAAAACGCGCGTTTAAAGTTTCAATTGTGAATATCTCGAAGAACAATTAAACAATCGGTTCTTATTTTTAGTCAGCTATATTTCTGATCCATATAACTCAGCTTCCTTCTCACTAGGAAAGATCCTCCACTAAAAAATTCAAAAAATTATAAAACTGACAAAATACGTAGAAAATGTAATATATAATAAGCTATTTTTTACTATCTGAATTCACTAAAGGGAAAAAAATCAGTCCAATCATAGAGGTTGGTCCATTTTTCGTTTTTATTTTATTGACACTGTGAGCTTGAAATAGTTGAAAGAAATTTGCTTATTGATTAGTTATACCAATTATTCAAGGTCGATTATTTATTGCCAATGAAACATTTTGATAAAAAATTTAAAAAACGTGGAAATCAAAATAGAAAAAAGGAAAGAATATCTGTAAGTCAAAATATTTATACACAAAAAAAAATTAATGCTCTATTGTATCTATATTATATGTAATGTTAATATATATGTATATGTGTATATGTGCTAATGTGCGTATAAATTAAATACAAAAACATTATGTGTCTAACACGATGTCGTAACGATGTAATCACCATAATTTTAATTTATATTTTCCGAGACTCGATTGATTACTCTGTAATATATTTTATTACAAGGAAAAGTACTTTTTAGAATGATTTTTGATAAAGTTTCTTTTGAAAGATCAGTCGATCATTTTTAATAAAATACACTTAGCAAAAGAATGTGTTTGAAAACAAAAATTGATGTAAAATATAAATGATTTAGGTTTAAATATAAATAAAAGATGTACTATCAAAAAAATAAAATTAAGATGTACAAAACAAAATAAAATTTTTAGTTTTTAAATTGTGAGGTATAATATTTAATTTAATAATTATAATTTTTCACAATTTTTATTTAAGGAAAAATTAAATTTGTATGTAACGGTTAAAATCAACTTGTTAATATTGTCTGAACAATAAAACCTAAGTATGATATCAATATTTTTGCATAGTTTGAAATATTTTTAACAATAGCTATTCTTCTAAATATATGCTATTAAAATTTCACTATAAAATGTTAATGATGTGCTTTGTATATCGATCAACTATATTGCTACATATAATATAATCTACGTAAGTATATAAAAAAGTATGCAAGTAAAAATTTGCACATTGCTTTCTCATAGTTTTTAAGTGTGCAAGTAGAAAGCAATGTACAAGTTTCCACTTGCACACTTAAAAACTATGAGGAAGCAATGTACAAGTTTCTACTTGCACATTTAAAAACTATGAGGAAGCAATGTGCAAATTTCTACTTGCACACTTAGAAACTATGAGGAAGCAATATGCAAGTTTCTATATACTTGCACACTTTTTTATGAATAGAGTATCATTAAAGATAGATTGGTGTTGTATTTGGCTTGATATCTCAAAATTTGCGGAAATTAAAGCAATCACGTAGATTTTTTTAAACAGAAATCGGTAACCTCTTTATTATTAACAATTTTTATTAATTCTATTATATTTTTCAATTTTTTTTATATTATTTTATATATAATTCTTTAAAATTTATTTAATCAGTTCTTGAGTTATAGAAATTTCAGTAAACTTTGCTGTTTTTTTTTTTTTTTTTTTTTACAGAAATTGGTAACTAATCAACCAAATCCAGAACTAATCTTAACAAATTATATATGAAATAGGGGTAGAAAAAACTGGAGAATATAATAGAATTAATAAAAATTGTTAATAATAAAGGAGTTACCAATTTCTTACGACTTATTTTGAATTATTTGCTGGCGACGGAAATTGTTTTGTTTATTTACCAATTTCTGTTAAAAAAAAAACAGCCAAGTTTATTGAAATTTCTATAACTCAAGAACTGCTAAATTAAATTTTAAAAAATTATATATAAAATAAGGGTAGAAAAAACTGAAAAGTATAATAAAATTAGAAATAGATCGATATCTTAAATATTGAAAAAGCTATAGCGTAAAACACGCTTTTCTGAAAAATGAAAATCCATACCGGTCGACGGATTTTAATAAAATTGGAGGAGAACATATTTTCTATGATACTCTATTTGTGTGCAAAACTTCAACCCGGTATCTAAAAAATTGTAGAAGTAGATGCGTGTACAAAAAATCCGTACACACACACACACAGACACACACACACACACACAGATACTTCCAGACATTTTCTACTAATATGATTTCTCGACATTTTAGAACAATCTAAATCTATTTCCTTTAAAATCTCGAAAAAATTTTTTTTACCATCACAAAGTTTCTTCTTTGAGGAAGCAAAATTGCAATAAATAATAAAAACATATAAAACAATAAATCAGTTATTGAAAATGCATGCACGCAAACGTTAATGCATATTATTGCACAAAAAGGACAAAGAATAACGAGCGCATAAATGCTTTTATAAGGCGACTTTTCCCTTTCATGATGTTTAATCGAAAGCATGACGAAGTTAAATGAAAATTGATAGCGGAAACAGACGGGATAACGTTATAAATCGATCCATTAATTGTGCGATATGCGATGCGCGAATTCGCATCAATAACAAATGTATCGCCGCTTTAATTTGATTTAATCGATCATTTGCATGGTTTTTGTTTGTTGATAAGATTTAGCATTATCATACAGGATGTTTATTCATTAAAACAGATAAAATAATATCTTACTTCAGAAAACGTAATATTAGTTATTACTATATTTTTTCTTGCATTTTCTTGTAATTTAAACAAAACAATTTCCGTCGCCAGCAAATAATTCAAAATAAGTCGTTTTATTTTTGACCCAACTGGCCAATAGAAACAAGATTGCACGACGTTTTGACCGAATTCCGGTCCTTATCAAGTGCTTTAATTTAAGTTACACCGATCCGCATGACAAATTTAATTGCATCGTTGACGTGGTGTCCTGACAACGTCAAGACAAACGCAAAACTAAACAAAAGAGAAAATAATACATTTAACAATAGAAAAACTATACAAAATCGTCACAATATCGCGCTGGTCAAAAACAATAAAATTAATTAACACTGTAAAAATCAGTTAAAAGCTTACAATTCTTATGCGTTCCAAAACAAACGGTGAAATCAAAACGTCACCAGCCATATCGAGGCACAACGTCCGAACAGTAAGACAGTCAAAGTCGAAATGAGTTGTCAAACGTGATCCGCGGATAGCAAACGGCGCTCTGGTGGAAAAACGAGCAGAACCGAATATATTCTTGTATACTTGTAATTCTTGTAATTTAATTTGTCCAACTCCGAGTTTTTTCTTTAAATTTCTTATTATAAGAAAAAATCAGAAAGTAAAATAAATTTGAATAACAATTAAGTAATTTTAAATCAACTGACTGGCAATATATAACGTCTTTTCGATGTGACCATTGAAAAAACTATGAGCCAATTCGCTTTGTCGGATTCACACAGCACTTTTTCGGATCAATCGTCAAGAAATTATTAATTTCGACCAACGCTTTTGGTCGGGTAATGTAATTTCTGAATTAAATAATTTTATTTTATTGCGAAAAAATATTACCCCAGCCAGGGTTCGAACCTGGAACCTCCCGTATATCGTGCGAGTGTCGTGCCAATTCGACCACTGGGGCTGTGGTAATATTTATCGCAATAACAATTATAGGATGGAGCACCAATTCTTCAGTCAACGGTGAATAATAACAGAATAATGGATTTTCTTCGCCAGTATATAGAATAACAATTAAGTAATTTTAAATCGACTGACTGGCGATATATAACGTCTTTTCGATGTGACCATTGAAAAAACTATGAGCTAACTCGCTTTGTCGGATTCACACAGCACTTTTTCAGAAATTACATCACCCGACCAAAAGCGTTGGTCGAAATTAATAATTTCTTGACGATTGATCCGAAAAAGTGCTGTGTGAATCCGACAAAGCGAGTTGGCTCATAGTTTTTTCAATGGTCACATCGAAAAGACGTTATATATTGCCAGTCAGTCGATTTAAAATTACTTAATTGTTATTCTATATACTAGCGAAGAAAATTCATTATTCTGTTAAAATAAATTTGCCCAACATAGGAGCGCCATAAACAAAACTAGCACTAGTTATAAGAACTACATGATTGAATTATAGTTACAGTACAGTATCACTTTAGTTGCGTGGTAACTTTCGCTTATAATTGGTTGAATGGCATGGCCACCCCATTGTCAGATTGCAACGTTAGTGAACTGTAATCCGATTTTTTGTGGTCAAAAGGGGAAAACATCAGAAATCTACAGAAGAATGGTAGCGCAGTACGGTGAAAACTGTATGGGATAGAAAAATGTCTACATATGGATGAACAGATTAAGAGTGTGAAGAAGAGTGAGAGAAAGCGGAGCATACGTGACTTCAGGACTAGCTAAAAAACGTTCTTTGCAAACGGAATCAGAAGATTTGTGAACTGTTACACGAAATGTGTTGCAAAGTTTGGCGATTATATAATGAAAAATGATGTTGTATATATTTTGCTAACGTGTATTGTACGTGACAAATAAATAAATTCACTTTACTTTCTGATTTTTCTTTATATGTATAAACAAAATTATTTTATTAAATTGTAATGAGTTTCATATAAAAAAAATGTATATTATACAATTCACAGATCTATTCGTTAATAGACTTTACATTGAAATCTATTTGTCAAGATTATTAGTTACGCTAATCTCAATTATAAGAATTTTACAAAATCAGAGTCAAGACACAAGTTGTAAATTCATACAAATAATATCTTAAACGTAGATAACAAAATCTATAATTTAGAGAGTGAGAGAGGATTAACTTACACTTACTCGAACGATGTTGCCGAGCCTGTTTTATAATTAATCGTGAACCAAAATTCGTAAAGCTCTCGATCGACCGGTTGTAATAGAGAAGATCGGGGCTCGTTGGCACAAGGGGCAAGTTGGCACAAGGCGCAATGCGTTCCGTTTATGTATTTATAGCGAAAGAAACAATGGAACAGTTATCACAAAAAATCTCTTTTATAACATAGGTAGTTTTCCCAAAGTTTTATTTAAATCAAACAATTAAGTATTACAATAAAAAAAAAAAAAGAAAACTCTGATTCAAGAGGTGGCAAGTAAATGTTCGAGCGTTTCAAAACATCGTATTAATATTCTTCAGCTTGAGAAGAAAATCAAAGAGACGTATTATTAGTTTAGAAAAGAAAAGAAAAGTTTCTGTTCTTATACAACATGTTATGTTGAAAAACAACAGTAATTTATTGTAATAAAATGACTGAAATCAAACCTATGTAGGGATGGAGTATGGCTCATATGAAGGCACGCTTAGCTTGACTTGTTGTTGCCGCGCACGTGAGATCTGTGTGAATATGTGATTTTTTACCTACAATGCTGACAGAAGCTAGATATACATTTATATTAATATTTTTATATTGAAGAAAGCTATATTGGTTGGCCAATAAATCCGTGCGGTTTTTCTCGATAGATGGCGTCAAGGCGCTCTGCTAAGCTTTATCTTCAGTCGGTAAGTTTTGAAACCGTCATTGATCGATGACATTTAAACGTGTATTTAAAAAATATACGTAAATATTGCTTGAGTATCTTGCGTGTTTTGCGTTATCTGAAAATAGATAACCAGAACGAGCATTTTCGGCATATTATGCTTTTTTATTTTAAACAAGGCAAAAACGCGGCTTAAACCTGTAAAAAGATTTGTGCAGTATATGGTGAGGATGCCGTAAAAGAACGCGTATGCCAAAAGTGGTTGCGAGATTTCGTTGCGGAGATTTTTCCGTCAAAGACAAACCACGCTCAGGCCGACCAAATGAAATCGGTAGCGACAATTTGAAGGCGATGATCGACTCCAATCCATTACATGACGCGGAAGATTGCAGTCGTTCTCCTAATATCGAAATCGAGCGTGGAAAATTATCTGCATCAACTTGGATACGTTAGCCGTCTCGATGTTTGGGTTCCACACTGAACTGAAAGAAGCTCATTTAATCCAACGCATTTTCATCAGCGATTCACTCGGATAACGTGAGAAAAGCGATTCATTTCTGAAGTGTATGGTAACTGGCGATGAAAAATGGATCTTCTACAATAACATCACGCGCAAAAGGTCGTGGGGGCAGCGCAGCAAACCGTCACAAATCGCTTCGAAGGCAGGACTTCACCCGAGCAAGATTATGCTCTCAATTTGGTGGGATTGGAAAGGTGTTGTGTATTACGAGCTACTTCCGAAGAACAGAACGATCAATTCAGATGTTTACTGTAATTAGCTGGATAAATTAAATGCAGCAATCCACGAGAAACGTCCAGAATTGGTAAATCGTAAAGGTGTCGTCTTTCACCATAACAACGCTAGGCCGGACACATCTCTACTAACCTGGCAAAAATTATTGGCGCTAGGCTGGGATGTCTTACCACATCCTCCGTATTCTCCAGACATTGCATCATCAGATTATCATCTGTTCCGCTCCCTTCAAAATTCTTTGAATGGAAAGCACCTCGTTTCTGAGGAAGCTGCATGTCAAACAACACTTGGAACAGTTTTTTGCCGAGAAAGACAGGAAGTTCTTTGAACGAGGAATTATAAAGCTGCCCGAAAGATGGCAAAAGATAGTAGATAACAACGGCCAAAACATAATTGATTAAAGTTATTACCTTCTATAAAAATAATTATCAAACATTTATAAGTAAAAAACCGCACGGACTTATTGGCCAACCTAATACATCTAAAATAGTTTACAATTGTTTTTCTGCAACAGCATTTTGCTATTCGATCATTACAAAATAACTTTAAAAGATACAATCTTTATCAAGAAGTACATATCTGTTATCCGTTTTGTATTTTTATTACGTTTTCATTAATTTAACGTGGACTTTTGTCGCATAGCCAACTTACCCTACTATCAGGGCAAGTTGGCTACAATGCAGCATGTCTGTATTTCACTTATTACAAAGAAATATATGGGGCATTCCATGCCAATTCGCAAGGAGTCAAACTTCGACCTTTTTATTTTTGATGGCCGCTCGTTTTTTAACAGGTCTTTACGAGTATTAAACCCCTGTTAAATCGTTTCTATAATAAATGTAGCGTTTCCGAAATAGAGCCTGCGCAAAATGAGGACTGCAAAATTTTCAATGAATTTTTTTCTTAGACGTTGTCTAATAGGCGAAAAAATTCATTGAAAATTTTGCAGTCCTCATTTTGCGCAGGCTCTATTTCGGAAACGCTACATTTATTATAGAAACGATTTAACAGGGGTCTAATACTCGTAAAGACCTGTTAAAAAACGAGCGGCCATCAAAAATAAAAAGGTCGAAGTTTGACCCCTTGCGAATTGGCGTAAAATGCCCCATATACAGTATATTAGGAGCGTTCTTGGCATAAAAATGTAAAGAAAGGTTCTTTTTATCATATTAGTACCGTTTAATCATGATAATTAGTTGTTTAAAAACTAAAATGCCGAAATTGTGAAAAGTGTGCCAACGAGCTCCGGTCTCCCCTACGTCTTCATCAGTAATTGGATATCGTAACGATCGATTTCTCTCGCTCCTTCCTCAAGCCGTATATGATTGACTCATAAGTGATTTCCGTTTAATAATATGCCGAATAATTTCTAAATCAGATTAGTTCTTGTGCTTTTCAAGGATGATGACTCGGACTCGACTAAAAGTCCACTTCTTCCTTTTTGGTTTTCCTCTTTCGTGCTTATTTTTAGCTTTCCCATCCTCTTGCTCTTCTTATTTCGATCTATCTATTTTTCTAACTTTCCAATTTGTTATAAAATATATTACAATATATAAGTGAGTATTCTATTATAATCGCGAAAATGGTAGACGTATCTGTGTTTTGGTTTTGTATAATATGTATCATGCGGTGAATCAACACGTTCTCCGCTTTCGCAATGAAACTCGTAGAGGATTACAAAGAAAAGTCCTTCGGCGATTACAAAAGTTGCATTTTGCAACACTTTCATAAAAATGTGAACGAGAAAATTATTCTGAAACATTGAGACAAGTGGACTACGGTGCAGCGAAACGAATGAACACGAGCGATGATTATTCATAGCAGACTACGATTATTCATAGTCTGTAGCAGATGGAAACTACGTGGAGAACGCGAAAGTATGCAAAACAAATTAATTCCGTTGTATCACCGGATTCGGATGAGATGAATCGCATATCGCGTCTCTGAATATTTGAAATTTTTCATATAGTTTCTATTTATTAAACAGCTCGTATAATCTCTCGCCACTACTACTACAAGGGATATTGCTCTTAGTAGATACGCAAGGTAATAAAGAAAAGTTGGCGTAAAATTGAATTTTCTTTAATTTCTTTTTTCTCTTTTTTTATGCCAGACATGTCATTAAAACGAGCGTTTTGATTTGTTCTTTTAGTAGGCAAATTAAAACAAGATAAAAAAATATTCGAGTTTAAGCTTGAAATGGAAAGAAAGTTATTCGCATGAGTTATCTTATTTCTTATTTATTCAATGTCTTTACACATTTGACGTTTATTCTACGGATTTATCAGCGACTTAGAATTATTAATTTACATTTTGTTTACAAAATTTTGTTTTAATTTATTGTTGATGCTAATTTCTTTAAAAACTAAAATTTCTTTAAAAATGCTACAGTTTTACGTCTTTTCACAATTTTTATACTTTGTTGCTAATGTTTTATACTTTATACGAGATATATGTTAATATTGTTAATAGTCTTTTCGAGATGTACATGTATAATTCATAGTATAATTATTACAAAAGTTATTATTATGTTGATTTGTATCTAACCGGATGAACGGTTATTTCAATTTCCATTAATCCGCACAAAATTTCGGTAATTCTGTTCTCTATTCTGTCCGTGTTTATTTGTCGTTATACTGCTAATGAAAAAATTATATAGGTACAGGCAGATAATAACTTTCTTTCTATTTCAAGCTCGAATATTCTTTCATCTTGTTTTAATTCACCTATTAAAAGAACAAATAAAAAATTATATACTGGAAGAATATTCTACAAGTTAGCAGAAATACATGTGGGTAAAGGTTATCGTGACTATTCCCTATTCGATTTCAAATAAAATGAACGTACAGTTTTTTAATCCACAAGAGATTAAAATAGTCGATTAGGATTTCATTTTCACCTCTCAAAATTATGTGACGTGATCTCTCGCTTGACCTGATTACTTCGGATATCAGAAAGAAATTGGACGCACTTTTCCGATAAATGAACGACAATGGTTTTACGCGATATCGGAAAGAAGGATTTGAGGTTATTCAGAGAATTATTCTCAAAGAATACTACAATAAATATTACAATAAAGTTAAGATATAACAGAGTTTATTTCGTAGAAAATTTGATTTACTTGTTGAATTTAATCAAACATGAACTTGGCAATAAATTTTGCTAATTACAAAACTTTATCATCATCCAGTTTATCATTATCCATTATATAGTTTATCTTAAACGCATTGTCACTGAAGTGCTAAAGCTAAAGCCACTCTAATTATTGCTGCTAATTAATTTCCGTTCTAATTTAATCGTCATCAGATGCTATATAACAAAACCGCAATGTCATTTTGATGTAAAAGATTTTAAAATGTAGTAAATTATAACAATCTTCATTTTTTTTTAAATAGTAAGATATTTTCGCATTCTAAGATACAATTTAATTCGCGCGAACAAATTACATCTTTTTACAATTTAGCGAATTACATTTTCATAGATCTCGCCGTTATAACTGGAGGACGTAATTGCTAAAATACGTAGCGTAATAGAAGTTTCTTGTACTTCGTGAAGTGACATCTAATGCATCTTTGCGTGCATTTTCCATCTATATATTTCAAAATATTTTTTACCATGCAATCTAAAGCATAGCTTCGCTATTTTCTCTCATATTTTTAATTTTAAACATTATAATTGCAGTTTATAATTTACTAGATCTTAATTTTATTATTTTATTTTTTATCTCTTTGCAAGTCTCAGACACAAGAAAATAATTTAATGCTTTAATCCTTTTGCAGTATAACATATATTATTGTATATGTGCGTATATATATATATATATATATATATATATATATATATATATATATAAATATATATATATATACATATATATATATTCCTGTGTCTTAACACGTTTAAAAATGTTTTTGGTAATTATTTAATCATTAGTTTAATAAGAGTTTTTAAAGAAAAATGCTTAAACTTTAACCAAATAATATTATAATAAAATTTCTAATAAAACATAAAAAATTATTATACGATCCAAATTTTTAGATTAACAATAAAATGTTTGATATGCACAGCATCATCTTGCGTGGTGAATATTCAAATACAACTCTGATAATATAAATTTTTGGAAATTTTTAGAACATAAAAAATATATGAATCTCTCTCGATGAGAAAGCACATGCGTGAGGTTTGAAATTCTTTTATTCGTCAATGTTTGATTCTCTCTTCCAAAGCTCGAGTTAGACTGACTAACAGCATATCGAGCCAAAGCATAGTACTGCTCTTGAACATCTTTCACGTGTCGAGAGAGCACTTCGGCTTATCGCTGATCGCGTAAACAGGGCGAGTGAAGTCATGACTTGTTTATCGCCATTGCGGCGGCTTCATTTGTATCGTGAAGAACGCCGGGTACAGTGAAGTTGGATGTAGTGGCAGTATTGTCACAAATTTCTATTGATATTTATACTTTATCGCTCCCTCTCTCTCTCCCCTTCTACCTCTTTTCCACTTCCACTTCCTCACCCTCTCTTCCTCCCATTCTCTCTTTTCTCTCTTTTCTCTCGTATTTTAATAATTGAGATGTTATACATACATATAGCGATGCTCTTGAAGTTATAGTATTTGCGAATAAACGCGGTATAAATTAGCTAAAAACTTTTGGATCTTATCATTCCTAATAACAGTTTTTATATTATTATACAATTTTGTTATATTTTTATTTTGTTTTAAAAGTTACACTTATATTTTACAACCCTGAAAATTTTTTAATATAATACATATTTATTAGAATTTAAAGATATTTTATTTCTTGCGTTTTCTATATTGATCTACTCTATTTTAGATTTTTTATTTTAATTATTGCGTTTGTTAATTATTTTGTTTTAAGGCATTATAATATACAATCCCATAGAATTTAAAAATATTTTATCTTTTTATTCGTCATATTAGATCCGCTATTTTGAATTTTTATAACTTAATCTCATTTTTAAATTTTGCAATTTTAACAATTTTAAAAAATTAAATTAATTTATTTTTTTGAATATGTTTAAATTATTTTATTTAATTAAGTTAAATAAAATAAAATAACTTTTTTTATTTATTATTTATTCAAAAAATGAAGCTGGGTGTGCATTTCTTCTAACAAAAATCAAACATGAAAAGATTAACGCAGCGTCACTATAATTAAATAATAAATATTTGTTTTTCAAAAACATTTAACAAAATTCATATTTGCACCAATCGCGTACTTAACATTTAAAAAATTGTATTTTTTTTCAAATTTATATTTCGCGTTTATTACAACGATTAAAATTATTTTGCGTGCAAAATGTTAATGTTCGACCGGATCGATATCCGGTTGACTAGAATCCTAGCTCTTTCGTAAAAAGCGATATCTCATAGTATAATTCTGTAACCATTAGTGCCAAGATCCAACTAATCTAGCCACTAAACCAGCAAAATAATTAGATTGACGACAAAGAAACACTAATGATCTTCGCAATTCTCTTGTACATACTATTTTGTTACAATAACACATTCAAAATTTCACGCAACAACATTGTCTGAGGATTTTTGAAACTACTTCTATAAAGGCTGCGTTTCGATATTCACTGTCAATATATTATACTGAAAATCTATAGTTTACGATAAACGCAGCCTAAGTAGTCACCATTAAATATTTGATTCCAATCAATATATACCTATTAGTGCAGGTGACGAGACATTCGCGTGATACTTTTGTTTATCATTGGATAGCGATTATCGTTTTACCGATAATACACGTGTTCTCTTTCATCCATGAGATAAAACGAAGAAGTTGCTGCGAAACTTCATTCTGAAACCGTTTTAAGTCAGCAATTTACGTCGCCGCTGCAAAATTACAGTCCGGACTTTTGCTGCGCTTCCTATTCCGTAGAGTACGATAATGACTCCTTGCATGAATACCGCTGTACGCTTTCGAGTTTTCCCTATTCATATCGTTACATTCAATCGTTTTTCTAAAGATAATCATCTGAATTAAAAACCCAACGGCAGAAAAAGAGTAACAAAAAATAAAACTAGGAAAGTTTACTAGCCGAAATGCTATAATATGCATTAGTACTTATTTGCTACAAATTCAGAAATCCGGAAAATCTCCGGAAAATACTAAATAATTTCTTATTCTGTTTAAATTTTTTGTTTTAAATGGAAATGTGAGGTAGAGAATTTCTAAGTATCGTCAAAAACATAATATATAATTTTTTGCACAAATCACGAGATCATTTATGTTTTTTCGGATCTTTGAATTCGCCCATAACAATACTAGGTATCTGTCGCGTCATCCATTAGTTTCATCACCCACACGTTTTTCATATGTGGGGGTGTTAGCATAATGTGAAGTCAGCACCGCCACCTTTAATGTTATTTTCTTGCAAATAGATGTGCACAAATTCGGAATTTAAACAATAAATTAATAATAAATTAGCATTTAATTATGGCATATATCCAAATTTATTTTTAATGGTAAAAGTGGCAAGGTTTACAGTCATCGTGATTTTGCAGGAGAAGCAAAAGTTGACAAGGACTGTGATAAAGTGGAACTCTACGCTACCGAATCTCTCCATCCGGAATCAAAGCAAGGCAATCTCCTATTGCTATGTATGCTTGCAAAGCCCGACATCGTAATTAAAAAGATACAAGAAACATAACATAGACATCGGAAATGGCAACGCAAGATACTATCATTTCTATAGAGGAGCAAGATCTAGTCAGCGCGGAGATGCCAAACTTTACGTCGATTATCAATGATGTTCAGCCAGCTGCCACATTCCTTTCCTTCTTTATAAACTTTCCCGGCGATTATTCGCCCTACAATGCAATAGAGGTAAGTGATGCGTGGCGAAGTTACCAGCGTAATTGTGTAGCTAAGGTATAAATAAAGTATATTTTTAACACGAACACAGTCCTCAAGAGTGAATGAGTGAGTGAATAAATGATAATATTTAAAGCTGGGGCCAGACTATGCGCAATTCGTGGTTCGTGATTCGGGGTTCGCCATTCGTAAAGATTCGTACGAATCACGAATCGCGCATAGTCTGGCGCCGAAGATTCGTATAGATTCGTATCGTTCGCCAATGTCGCGGTTCGCCATTCGTATAGATTCGTGTCGTTCGCATTCATGGTTTATCATTTGTTATTCGCGATTTCGATTCGTTTATGATTCGGCAGTCATTGTATGCAAATAAAAGAAGACACCGAGGAAAGAACATTTACTTTTATTATCTAGAGTACATTTTTACGTAATAAGATTCGATCATGAGCGATAGCGATGATAGTGACGTTGAAATTGCGAGTGCAATATATATTTTAATTGCAAAGAAGAAAATGAAAAGAAGAAAGCGGAGATGGTGGATCAAACCACTATTCAATAGGTTAGTTAATAAAATCAGTATTGCAAGTTTTGAAATAAGAAATTTCTCAATCACGGTAAGACCAAATTACTTCATTAATATTTTTTATTCTAGACATAGTGGAACTGTATTGCTCAATGATGTAAAGAGGAGTGGGAAATTCGAGAATTTTTGTAGAATGTCGGCAGAGGATTAATTTCTTCTCAATTTGATAGGACCCGAATTGCTAAACAAAGCACTCATTTAAGAAAACCTGTATCAACCAAAGAGAAAGACTAGCAGTAACATTGAGATTCTTGGCGTCAGGCGATAGGTTCCGAAGTTTGAGCTATTTATTTAGAATTTCGCCACAACTAATATCGTCCATCAAATTTTCTATTTCTACTTTTGTAATCCTTGTCTTTGGGATCTCACAAGCACGAATATTGCTTTTCTATAAGCGCAAAAACGCGACATTCTGTCCATTCGGCTTCCATCCTTGCAACTAATGAACTAATCTAAATCCTAATCGACTTAATCGATTATCGAGTAAATCGAGTCTATATCGACTTTTCACCGTGAACCACGAAGATATGTACATACGAATAGACATGCACAGTGTGAACACCGCACGAATCAACACGAATTGATCATTTGTGGCGATTCGCGCTCTTTGATCTCGCCAACAAACCGCTCCGCTGGCGAAACGGCGCGAATGGTGAACAGCGAATGCAAATTCGACGAATCTGCCTATACACACTATACACGAATTTTATACAAATAGCGAACCGCTAATCACGAACCACGAATCGAAAGAGCGTTTCGCTGGCAAATCGGCGCGAATGGTAAACAATTGATGCGAATTCGACGAATCTGCCTATACACACTATTCACGAATCTTATACGAATAGCGAGCCGCGAATCACAAACCACGAATCGCGCATAGGCTGGCCCCAGCTTAATACGTTCTAGAATAAAATTCTTTTCTGAATGACTGGCTAGAAGAAAGCGAATAAAAATAACGTAACTAGAAGAAGAGCGCGTTATAAATTCACACTAAAACTATACTGAATATTAATTTCTATTTCTATCAAATTTCTATCATCTATTACGTATTTCTATCAAAGAGGTCAAAATAATTACTTGTTTTCGAAAAAAACACGATATTTAGAAAAAAACATATTTTTTACATTGATTCAGCGGAAATTCAAAATGAGATTACTATTCTTAAAAATAAGTAATAAACAGCCAACTTCAGGGGTCAATAGTGGACGCAAATACAAGCATTTTAGACATAGGAACCACGGGTCCCCAGCACTTAGTTTTGGCGCTATACACGCGTTTGAAGTTTCACTGTGGCGCTTCACCTAAATCCGCTGAAACTAAAGCCCCTTGCACAATGCCAGGCAACAGGCAATAGAAACAGGAAATAACCAAAAAATCGTTAATTGCAACCTAAAAAATTCGAATGCTATGATTGGTTGGCAACAGGCAATAGGCACAGAATTTCCAACGTGACGGAAACTCTGTGTCTATTGCCTGTGTCACTGTTTATTCTGCATTTATACATGATTTCTGATTTCTATTCCCTGTTCCTACTGCCTGTTGCCTAGCATTGTGCAAGGGGCTTAAGTGCCGGGGATCCCATATGGTTCCTATGTTCAAAATGCTTGTATTTGTGTCCTCTATTGACTCTTAAAGTAACGTACCAAAGTTTTTCCACACTCTGTATATATAATATATATCTTTCTTATTAAAACAAATATATATATATATTGCGACGCTTTTTCCCCCGGTCTCGCAATCCGGTGGAGGGCTATCGTGGATTGGCAGCACGCGTAACTAATTCCGACACCAAAGATTGGGCGCCAGATGCGACGGATCGCACCACCGTACACTATAATATCTAACGCGATATTCCCGGCAATACTTTAGGGCGTAGGGTTCTTTCAGGGAATTCGGAGAGAGGCGTCACACAATCAATCACACACAAGAGAATAAATAATAATAACAGAGGATATATTTAGTCAGATAATATCAATGGGTATAATCGGTCTGAGTCTCTCGTATTACCGCAAAAATGTCGGATGGGCTGACGCACGAATGCCGCAACGCAATAAGTGCACGCGGTAATGTCGAATCTTTCACACTGTAGATTGGATCAACGCAACAGATAAACGCAGGCGAACACACGAAAGCTTAACATAATTACGATTCAGGTATCGCGGTACCTTGCTTCAAACTCAAAACGAACTTACGCCACGAGGCCGACGAACCGACTCGCCGCACCTTCGGTTGCTCCTTCAACGCGCACCCGGGCCACCTCGATTCCGCACGACGCAAAAATTATGGGCGATCTCGCCGAGTCGACCACGCTGGCCGGCGATTGCCCCCGAACACGAAATAAGGACTCGTATCGCGGACGATCCCACGGCTTGCCATGCGAATCCCGAATTCTCTCGCAAGCACGGAGATTCCGCGGCCCCGCGCCGATCCCGCCGATCTTTCCGTCCCGCCAAACACAATATTCGCCGTCCTCGAGGGCCCGGATACGTTACTCAAATACGAGGACGAGTGCCCTTCACATGACCACTCGCGGCTCGCCGTTACCCGCACAACTCGCTCCCGTTATCGCCACGCAAGGCATCACTCTCAATAATAGGGCCAAGACGCGACACGATTACGAACATAAATATTATGGCCAAGACGCGACGCGATTACGAACATAAGCTCTATCACAATGAAACGCGACACGATTACGAATAACGCGATACGATTACTTACATTAATTCAACGAGACGCTACACAATTCGACCCGATTAATCCGATTCACATATCTCAACGCCACGCGACTGTCGGCCGTGGCGGTGCTCGCGGGGAGGGCACAATTGGTCTCTACGCACTAGAGAGCTCACTCTCGGCAAGGCCCTGGCACGATTTCCACCCGACTCTACTTTAATGCGAGCGCAAGGTAACGCACGCTCTGACCTCGCTGTCCACAGGTAATCCTGCGGCGCTCAGGTAACCGATGTGTGCCATGGGCCGATGCCTCGAGCGAACCCTCTTTTTCTTAACGCGGGGACGCCAGAGTGGTGACCTTACAATGTGTCGTCGTCCCTTCGGCAGTCTGGGCAGCTCGGGATCCGGGAGATGCGTCCTGTACTTTAGCCGGCACGACAGTGTCGGAAACGATAGCCTGCCGGGATCGCGCCGGTTCCCCGCGCCTGCGCTGTAGCGTGTCGCTCGACCGGATTGCCGATCCTAGCGCTTCCTGCGCCTAGGCCGCCCGTGCGCCGCTCCTTCCGGGGGCGCCACTCCAATTCCAGGGCGCTCTCGTCGGCGCCTCAGCTTCTCGCGCGCCTCCCTTTCCGGCGGCGCCGCTGCAACTACCTCCGATTCGGCGCGGGCTTTTCGACTCAACCGGCTGTCCGGGCCGCAATGATCGAGTCGGCGTTCGGGGTCAGGCTGGCCGGGCCTCGGCCCCGTCCGCCGGCATCCCCTCGGGGTGACGGCCCCAGGGCTGCGCCTTTCCCTGGGCCGCTCCTCGGTACCCTGGTCTGACTGGCATTTTGCTCGGGGGTGACTCGGGGTCTTCCAGATCGTTATACTGCCGCTGTTACGACCGAGTGCGGGGTGAATTCCGGCCGGCGACGCTCATGCACTTGCAGGGAGGTCCGGGCGATCCGACTTCCAGCCATGTCCCCTGGCCGTGTCCTTAATTCTCGTTGCGGCTCCCGGCCGTTACAGGTTGACTCCGGTCACCACTGGCAATCCCTTAAAAACTTAACAACTAATTAGACCAATTACTAATACGCGACCGCCCTCCTCTCGCTCTAACGAGGAGGCATCCCCGAATTTCCCTCGGCCGAGCCCGTCCGGGAAGGAGACGCGACTTGTCACGTCACAATATATATAAACATATGTATATCTTTTATTCAACAGTTTTATATATGATTCAGCACATTTCTTGCAGAGACAGAGACAGAGAGAGAGAGAGAGAGAGAGAGAGATTTTTTTGATGGATTAATCTTTATTAGCTTTCTCAGCTATTTAAAATACATATCAGTTTACATTAGAGAAGGTGATATAGGCCGATTCCATCCCGGGGGCTCCGAGAGGGGGTGAGGGAGGGGGGTATCGGATTACGCAAAAGGGGGAGTGAAGGGGAGGGGAGGGGGCGGGGTATCGGGTTACACAAAAATATTGGATTACTAAGGGGTGAGGGGAGGGGAGGGGGAGAAGAGGGGGCGGGGTATCGAATTTCAAGGATATCGGATTACGCCGTGGAGGAAAGGAAAAGTGACCTTGGCATACCACGTGTATGACTCACCGGGATGACTCACCGGGATGACTCATGTCCGGTATGACTCACCGGGATGACTCACCCGCGCCGCGGGCCCACGCGGGGAGTCCGCGTTCGCGTTCGCGTTCGTGTTCGCCGCGCGCCGCGGGTCCGCGCGTGGGGTGCGCATCGCACCGGTCGCGGGGTACGTTC